CCCATCACCCACAGCCACCCATCTCTCTCCCTTTAAGTGTGTGGAACCCGTGTTTCCTCCCAAGCCAGATCTCCTCAAACTTGCAGGGAAATGCCAGCTTCGTGCTCTTAAAAGGGAAATGCGGCTGCTCTTAAAGGGGAAACGCCGGCTCCTGCATTTAAAAGGGAAACGCCGGCTCCTTTAATGGCAGGGAACTGCCGTTTCGGGAAATCTGGTGCGCGGGGGGGGGCGGATGTCCCCAATGTGACGTCATCATGTCGGGGATGCCCCGCCCCTCCAGGAACGCCCCAAAGTCCCCCACTGGGGGTGGAAGATGGACTTGGCAACCCTAAGCAGGCAACACTTTTCTCCTTATGCTAAAGGCACAGGAAGGACAGGGGGGGGGAGAAAACCCAACTGAACTATAATTTATCAGTAAGTGTGATCATATTGTTAAAAACACATAACACACACACATAGTATGCTTTGCTTATGATTTGAGTTTGTGCAATTTGACGACAGCTTATCTATTTTTGTACTTATGTTTACTTTTGTATTACAGTACTCGTTAACAAAAAAAGATGCTGATAGTTGTATAAATTGTTTATCTCATCTTGAATAAAAAGTTTACTAAGAAAAAAGAATGAAAATTACATTGATTTCACATTACCTTTTTTAAAGCCGTTTTTTATCCGTCATGGAGTAAACCAGTATAGGGCTGCCATTTCATACATGGCTTTCCCCTTCCAGTAAAGGGCTGGATTTGAAGCGGTTTGCCATTTCAGACTGCACCGCTTTTCCCCCACCATTTTTCGCCCGCGCGGGTGATCTCCGGCTTTTTTTTAAACGGTCGCTTTATAGCGCTATAGCGCTATAGCAGTATAACAAAACACTCCAGGCATTCCAATGGTGTTGATATACTGCTGTTCCGTTATACCGTTATAGCGTTATAACGCTATAAAGCAAACGTCCGTCCCCCCAAAAAAACCCAGAGATCGCCCGCGGGAAACGGCGTGAAAAAGCGCATCGGAACCGGGAGAGGAAACTGAAGACTACTTGGAAGCAGTTGACAGGTAAAATGCTTCAGCCCCGTTTCCTAAACGGGACAGAAGCATTTGTGTCTGAAATTACAAATATATTCCGGTAGGGAACCGGTTCTAAAACGGTTCTGTCTGAAATGACAGTCTAGAAACCGTTTGGGAACCGTTCCTCTTCCGGATTATATCGTCTGTCTGAAATTCCTCCATGGTGCATTATTCAGCACTGGAGCTGGGCGGTTTTGGTGTTCCACTTTTGAGGAAGCAACGCGGTATGGCAACCTTCTGAAGCTGGCAGGGCCGTGAAGTGGATACACAAGCGGTGAGACGAGTTTTTTTGAAGAGGAATCATAAACATATTCATTTGGACTTTTCACGGTTTGAGGAATTTGGCTTGGACTATTTCTGAAGGTGGATTAATAGGACTGTTTTTGTCTTTGGAACATGTTTTTTTGAGTTTCTGATTACTATACTGTATTTTTGCAAAACAGCTCTATTTATATAGGTTTAGATTATTATATTCATCGAATGTTGAATATATATATTTTGTTACTTATGCATGGTTTGAGGGAGCAGGGGGTGGTCAGCACACAAAAATGGCAGCCCCAGGAGGTGGAGCCAAGTCCAAAATGGCTGCCCCAGGAGGTGGAGCTGAATGGAATATCTCTGTCCTGAAGCCTCCTGGGAAGAAGGAAAGCCTGAAGGGGAAATGGAACCACACACACTGACTAAGGAAAGGCCAGGTGCTGATCTGCCAATGGAAAACCCTTCTGAAAAGCTTGGCAGAGGCCAAAGTCCTGAGTGGCACCAAGTTGGGGAACCCTTATATAAGGTTTCAGTGCTAAATATTTCACAATCACTCAATGGATACAGCTTGTAGGTCTCCTTTGTTTTATTTATTTATTTATTCAATTTCTAAAATTTTAATTTTTTAAAAAGCGATTGTCTTTTTTATTTCTGCTGTTCATTTTTAGCTTCAGTCACTGTTTGGTGAAAGTCTGTGTTTGTTTTGTACTGTTCAGTGCAGTGAGGAGTTCTACTGAAAGGCCATTCTGTTATAATGCTAGCAGGACAATAACTATTGCCCCTAAAACTCTGGCACGCTTCCTCTGCAAGCTGAATCGCTTTCCAGACACACACTCTCCCCACCAACAGTAGCCTTTGCCCACTCTGACAGGAAGATCTTTAACGGGGGCAGCTTTCCCCACCAAATTCATGTAAGGCTCCACCAGTTAAATTTCTGCCTGCTACACAGTTGTTAAAGGTACCGGAGGATTATAATTCCGGAAGGAGCCGTGTCGGTCGGGTCTGTTGCAGCAGCAGCAGGAGGTGGAGGAGAAGGGAGGGGTGGGTGTGGGTGGGAGAACTCTGCTGGAAAGATCCAGGACCACTGGGGGCTCATGCTGTTCCCACCAGGGTTCAAAAGCAGATTCCTCTAAAACGATTCTCAGCCACTGTGATTCAGAAGGATGCTGCCTCCTCTGCACCTGGAAGATCCATTTACCTATCTCGATTCACACACCTAATAAGGTCTTGTTCAGGTTGCTTCAGACCCACACGGCTACTACCCACTTGAAGGTCTTTAGCAGCAGCAGGTCTGGCCACTGTAAGAAATGAATCTGGAAAGCGAACGGGCCGACTTCCTTACGCTTAAAACTAGATGCCGGTGAAACGGAACAAGCAGACAGCGGCCCCTTTAAGAATCTCTGGGAATTCCCATTCACTTCCGAGTGCATGAGCGTTTCCCTTCTCACGTGACGGGGGGAGAGCCGATAGCCCCGCCCTTCCTTCCCATAGACGCGCCTGCGACGTCTGTCCAGCCCGGGAACTTCTTTCCAGCGCTGCGGGTTTTCTCTCCACGCGGGTTCTTTGCTGCTGTGAGCGGCAATTCCCGCAATGGTGAGTGCTGACGTCACGCCTTTTGTTGTGGGGCGCGAGAGTTTTTGTCCCCCCCCCCGCCTCCCTCCTGAAAGCGGGGTGCAAGAGTGAGTAGAGGTGGATTTGTTTATGCCGAGTTGTCAGTCTTTAGGTTTGGACAATGGATGGTCGAGCTTGCTAGCCTGAGATATTACCTGCACGTTACAGGGAAGCCCCGGGCACACTTTCTTGGTGTACAGTGGGTGATTTTGCCCCAGTTTAAGTTGCGCGTAGGGAGCTTGGCGTTTATTAATTTATTTTTAAATTAAATTTCTGGCCGTCAAGTCGCAGCCGACTGTGGGCGACGTTGTAGAGTTTTCAGGGCAAGAGAAAGGCAGAGGTGGTTTGCTATTGTTTGTCTCAGTGCGCCACGACCCTGGTATTCCTTGGTGGTCTCTGAGGTCTGACAAGACTGGGCTAGCCTGGGCCGTCTAGGTCAGGTGAGCGCATTAATGAGTGCAACATTGCTTTGGAGCTAATATGGCTTATTTTTTTTAAAAAAAAAGAAAATAAAATGTTTATGTTCCAGTACCTTGGAGAGATAGAGGTGGGAATTTGGGATGCTGGAGTATTGTTTACTTCACTTACGCCTCACTCCACCCCGTGAGGATCCAAAGAGGCTCACAACCTTCTCCTGCCCAGAATTTTGGAAAATGTGCAGTTGCACATTGTTGCGTGTGGTGTGTTTTGTACACACTGCTTCCCATGCCAGTGTGGAGTAAAATTTGGGTGGTTTTTGTTTCTAGGGGTTGTTTTTTTAAAAGAAAAGGTTTGCTTGTGGCTAATGATTTGTTCGTTCTCCCCGTGTAGCTCTTCTACTCCTTTTTCAAATCCCTGGTAGGGAAGGACGTGGTAGTTGAGCTGAAGAACGACTTGAGGTACGTCTTTATTCAGAGCATGGATTCTACTTCCTTTGTGGAGAACAGGGGATGACAGTTCCCAGATCCTAACCCCTTTCAGACTCTCTATCCTCCACTATCGCTGCCAAGTCTTCTATCTCCCTCCTCCTCTTTAATGCTCTAGATCTTCCACCCCAATTAAAGATATATTTTAATTGTTTTTTCTCTCTCTCCTCTTCTACAGTATTTGTGGGACCCTGCATTCTGTGGATCAGGTACGAACAGCAACATCTGTTTCTTTATCCTGGATGATGAAATTTGTGCCCAGATGGCCCACTATTTCAAATCCCAACATGTTTTTAGTGTCTATCTGTTTCTCTGGGTAGTAGCAACTGGGCGGCAAGTATCTTGGGAGCATATAAACAAGCTTCAGAACAAAATCTTACATGCCCTTTTGTTGGGTGATAGTGAGATATTTTTAAAAAATGTTATTTAGCAGAGATAAAATAGTCCAGCAGAGCAAGAGTAAAATAATTCAGACTGAGATTCAATGTGTGATTAAAATATAAAGTTTTTACTAAATTCTAGCATGGGAAGGGTAACTGGGATGAAAATAACAACAGAGCATAATCGGCTACATCCTTACTCTAGAAAGACAAAACTAGAAGAGAGAGATTATGGCTGCTCTTCTTGTTCTTCAGAACACCAAAACAAAGACGGGAAGAGAAGCCATAAAATGGTAACACACCTTGACACTTTAGTCCCAATCAAATTCCTAGATCAGGGAGAAAATTCCCGGGCATCCTACAGCTAAAGAACATTGGTTACATGAGAAACATGTGACTTCCTGTGAGTAACATAAACAAACATTTAACCCAGATATACTGAGTGTTTTCAACTTGTAATACCCAACACCTTTGAATCTTTGTCAGTTAGCTTTTCCTTTTTGCTTTGCAGTATCTGAACATCAAACTCACAGACATCAGTGTGACAGACCCAGAGAAATATCCTCATATGGTGAGTATCTGTCATATTTTTAGCCCACTGTTCCTCTAAGGAGCTTGGAGATACATGGCTGTCCCCATCTCCACTTTATCCTTAGAACAATTCTGTGAAGTAGGCTGGCTTATGCACTAACAGTCCCAGGCCCCTGAGTTAGCTTCATGGCCGAGTTAGGGATTGTAGCTACTATGCTGCACTTGCTGCCATAGTCTCAGATTAAAGGATGTTGGAGGCGCTTGAGAAGCATAGGTGAGTGTGCTAGAAACCGATTGCTTTTGCTGACTTTAAACCTGTAAGGCTGTAAATAAGAAAAGCTTTGCGGGATCAAACCTGTGGATCCACTCTCACATAGTGGCCAAACATTTGCCCTGAAGGACTAGCAGATGACACAGAGGCCTTTCCCAGAGTTGTCCTGAAATTACTTAGGTTCCACGTAGCTCTGAGGTCCGTTCCTTGTCCTGTCCCCAGAATTGCTTCTCTTTCTTGAACATAGTCTCTTGGTGGCTTTCTCAGTGTGTTTTCCTGTCTGTGCAGCATTGTCATGCCATGTATGTATGCAACATCTGGTTATTTCTAATAAGTAAACATAATTGGACGTTTCCTGTAAGGACCTGTAACATGGTGATTTTCCTACCAAAGCAAAGTGCTTTTGATGGCAATTCTGGGTGGAACCTTGGAACATGCCAAGGAAGAAATCAGATTGCCCATGTACGAGTGCAGAGTGTGTCCCTCCAGGCTAAATACCAATTGACATTCCTACCCCCGCCCCCCCGATACCTGGAATTGCTTCTACAGCAGGGGAGTAGTGTGTTTTGTTTTCTGGTAAGTCCTGGCATTGCGTTCTTGGAAATGTGGCCATCCCATTTCACTGTCTCGTCATCCCCCCCTCCCCAGTGTTCCCCCCCAAGTGTTTATCAATGTGTGCAAACAGCTTGACTTTTACACCTAAAGGTGGTTATGCATAACTTGCTGGCTTGGGGCAGGGAGGGCCAAATCGAGTCTTAAGGAAGCCAGGCTGTTGACAGCCAGGGCCAGGGCCTTCTCGGTGGCGGCTCCATCCTGGTGGAATAAGCTCTGTACTTTTTCCACCAAAAAGGAGGTCTTCCGGCAGGCTTTTGGAGCCGCCGCCACCATTGACAACTAGGATAGGAGGCCCTGTTGGCCCTGTTGCCCCTGAAATTTGTATTAGCGGCTTGTGCCAGCCACCGAATAGACACCGGCAGAAGACCTATGGTGCCAGTTATGGGAAGAGAGAGCCGATACGGTAGCCATTGCTGATTTATCAACGACAAAACTAGCACTCCCTATGAAATTGCCAACTAGTTTTAAATGGTTTATTATATTGTTTTACATGTTTTTATTGAAATCGTTTGCTGATTTTATGTAAGCCACCCTGAGCCGGCCTTGGCTGGGAGGGCGGGGGAGAAATGTAAGAAAATAAATAAATAATAAATGATGTGCTCGGAAGTGAATGTGAGCAGCAGGGGCACATCCACTGCAACATTGGTTCATGCAGCAAGGAAGGCTGTTTCACAGTACATGGCCTTGGTAATCTGTACAACAGTCCTGTGAAATGGGACAACAGCGTACCCACTTTCAGCTTCAGCCCCTCATCTGTCAGAACCTAAGAGAAGCCAATGTTGGATCAGGCCAATGGTCCATCCAGTCCAACACTCTGTCACACAGTGGCCAAAGATACCAGGTGCCATCAGGAGGTCCAGCAGTGGGGCCAGGACACTAGAAGCCCTGTACACCTGCATTCTTAATTGTGGCCCTGGCCTAGTGGAATGGCCTGCCTGAGGTGGTCAGGAGGGCTCCCACACTTCTGTCATTCCACAAAGTAGGTAAAACAGAATTGTTCAGGAGGGCATTTTAAATAAAGGTAATGCGGTGGCTCAAGTGGTTAAGACGCTGAACTGCAGGCTGTGGAAGGTCGGTAGTTCAGCAGTTCGAGACCCGGGTGCCGCATGACGGAGTGAGCTCCCGTCTCTAGTTCCAGCTCCTGCCAACCTAGCAGTTCGAAAGCAAGAAATTGCAAGTAGATAAATAGGTACCACTTCGGTGGGAAGGTAACAGCGTTCCGTGCGCCTTGGTGTTTAGTCATGCCGGCCACATGACCAAGGAAACGTCATCGGACAGCGCTGGCTCTTCGGCTTTGAAACGGAGATGAGCACCGCAACCCTAGAGTCGGACTCGACTGGCTTTCGAGCAAGGGAACCTTTACCTAATAGAGCTCTAGTATAATGGAATGGTCAAGGAAGGAGCTTTTATAAAGACAACCGGACTGTATTCTATCTCACTGTCAGATGTGTGTGTGTATACATTTGTTGTATATATTATCCTGCTCTTACCGCATCGCTTTCTACTTCTGTGATTCCATTTTCTGCATCGCTTGACACATCTGTCCTTTTTGTAGCATAGTGTAGTGGTTATAGTGTTGCACTAGGATCTGGGGAGAGCCAGGTTCAAATCCCCACTTGTGCCGCAGAAGCTTGCCGGGTGACCTTGGGCCAGTCACACACACCCCCAGCCTAACCTACCACACAGGGCCATTGTGAGGATAAAGTGGAGGAGAGGAGAACGATGTAAACTGCTTGGGTTCCATTGGGGAGAAAGGTGGGGCATAAACAAAGTAAATAATAATTGTACTGTTTCTGATTTTGTAACAACCCTAGTCCTTTTGCATTGCTTATTAGGTGTCTCATGCTGTTTGATCGCGTTGTTTGTACCCCGTGCAGTCTTCCCGGACTCTCAGTGAGAAAGGCAAGCTATAAATAAAATAACAGCGACTTGCCTAAGGCCATTTGGGATGCGGAATGCAAGCTTATCTTTGGCCACTGCTCTGTGCCCATTTTAAGAAGACTAAATGTAAATGTGATGCATTATGGGCCGAGAGTTGGAGATGTCACAAGGACTAACCTGTCCGGAGGCCCTTGCTGCCTTTCCCTGGTACATATGCACGTGCTGTCAAGTTGCAACCAAGTTACAGCGATCCCAGCAAGGGGCTTTAAGAACATAAGAAGAGCCCTGCTGGATCAGGGCTCTAGTCCATCTAATCCGGCATCCTGTCTCACACAGGGGCCAACCAGTTCCTCTGGAGGACCAATAACAGGGCATAGAGGCCGAGGCTGATGTTACCTCCTGGCTCTGGGATTCATAGACTTTGTGCCTCTGAGTGTGGAGGTTCCCCTCCGAGGCTAGGAGCCATTGATACTTATCCTCCGTGAATCTATCTAATCCCCTTTTAAAGCTGCTTATTCCAGTTGGAGCTGCGGTGGCTCAAGTGGTTAAGACGCTGAACTGCAGGCTGTGGAAGGTCAGTAGTTCAGCAGTTCGAGACCCGAGTGCCACATGACGGAGTGAGCTCCCGTCTCTAGTTCCAGCTCCTGCCAAACTAGCAGTTCGAAAGCAGGAAATTGCAAGTAGATAAATAGGTACCACTTCGGTGGGAAGGTAACAGCGTTCCGTGTGCCTTGGTGTTTAGTCACGCCGCCACATGACCACGGGAACGTCTTCGGACAGCGCTGGCTCTTCGGCTTTGAAACGGAGATGAGCACCGCAACCCTAGAGTCGGACTCGACTGGCTTTCGAGCAAGGGAACCTTTACCTTTTACTGGCAGCAAATTCCACATTTTATTCACACTCTGAGTAAAGTACTATTTCCTTTTGTCTGCTCTGAACCTACTGCTCATCAGCTTCATTGGATGACCTTGAGTTCTAGGGTTTTGGGAGAAGGACAAAAAAACCTGTCAACTTTCTCCACCCCGGGCATAATTTTATAAACCTCTATCATGTCTCTCCCCCCAGCACCCTTAGTTGTCTCTTTGCTAAACTGAAGAGTCCCAGACTCTTCAGCCTTTCCTCATCGGGAAGCTGCTCCACCCCCCTGATCATCTTGGTTTCCCTCCTCTGTACTTTTCCTAGCTCCACAATTTCCTTTTTGAGGTACAGTGACTAGGAAGAAGCAGAGGTGGTTTGCCATTGCCTTCCTCTGCAGGTCTTCCATGCAAGTTCCAGTTCTGCTTAGCTTCCGAAATTGGGCTAGATACCATGCTGCCTTCCCTTCCCCTGGTATTGCCCCAATATTTTGATTCTTTTGTTGTGAATGTTTGCAGTGCTGTCCTTCCTTTAATATTTGTTTGGGTCTCCAGTGAAGACCCAAAGTAGTTCACATTGTCTTTCTTTGTTCTATTCTCATAGCAGCCACCCTGTGAGTAGGAGGTTAGGCCAAGAGAGAAAGTGAATGGCCCAAGGTCACCCAGGAAGCTTCCAGAGTAGAATAGGGATTTCCCAGATCCTACTCTGATGCTTTACCCCCGGCACTCTGCTGGCTGTAAACTTTACCCTAGCATCTGATGCAGGATAATCTAGCTGCTTCTACATCACAACCCCACAGTTTTTCTTCCTGGCACTAATGCTCTCTTCCCCACCCCCTTCAGCTGTCTGTCAAGAACTGCTTCATCCGTGGCTCAGTCGTCCGCTACGTTCAGCTTCCGGCCGACGAGGTTGACACACAACTATTGCAGGATGCTGCGCGGAAGGAAGCTCTTCAGCAGAAGCAGTGATGGCTCCCCTGTCTTTTTTGCATCGCCTGATTGTGTCTGTGTGTGTGTGTGTGTGTTCTTGGAAAAGAATGAGGGAGGGTGTTGGCAAGCCTCTTCTGGAGAGAATGTGGCAATATTTTGTGTCCCAGTCTGGAAAAGAGCATGTATGCACACAACTGGTGTGTAGTTGTGCTCGTTTGCCTGTTTTTTTGGACCTACAAGAAAAATCAGATTTGCTATCTTGCCTTCAACTAGGGTTGTACATTCTTCAGTCCTGTGGCTCTGTAAGTTGTGTAGAACCCATTGCTGGAAAATGGCAGTAAAATTATTTTTTATAAAATGCACTAGGAGCACTATTTGTTTTCCTAGATCTCCCCATTCCAATCTTATTACACTGTTAAATGGTAGGAGAGAGACTTCTTGGGTAGAGTGGCCAATATTCAATTCCCCCCCCTTTTAAAAAAGTCTTTTTTTTCTATACTATGCTCACAAACATCAGAATATGTGATCAGTCCATTTGCCACTGACCTTTTCCAGTGAGCTCCATTTTGGGGGGGGGGTCTGTATTTTTGGTGTTATCTCATATTTAACCAGCACAAATATTGCTTTTATTCATATCCCAGCAGGTACAGAAAAAAGCCTGAAAACTCCCTCATGTGCCAGTTATTTCTGTTCTGTGAACTATAATTCCATTCAATGTCTAACTCAGGGCTCTCCAAGGGGTATTAAGGACTAAGAATCCTATTTCTGTTATTTTTGGCCATTAAAGGGTGCCGTAAGATCAGTTTCTTTACCCTTCAAAATGATTTTCCCCTCCATTCTGGATCTTCAGTGGTTCTGAGGCAATGAAGAATGAAATGTACTAATTTTTGTGTTTCTGATCTTTTGTGACCATTACAAGAATACATGGCTGTTTTGTTTTTTTAAAGAGGGTCTCTTTAGAACTTGTGTGTAAAAGTTATAAAAATAAAATGTTGCATTTGTTGAAAGTTTGTGATTTGGAGCGGAACCCCAAACAGGACTATTCAAAATTCTGTTGAGGCCTATCCAGCGGAGCTCACTTCCAGGAAAAGTGGCTTATATCAGGTAGACTTCATGTCTTTTGTTCAAAGAAGAGGTGGCGCAGCTGTTCCATTTTCACAGTTTTCTATGAATGGGGGTGTCTTGGATCATAACTTTCACATTCTTGGTGATGGTATAGATCTCATGGAGAATTTCTGCAGTCAGAAGGGATTTCTATCCACTTTCTTATCCCCTTCACACATATGAACCTACCTTATACTGAAGCAGACCCTCAGTCCATCCAAGTCAGTATTGTCTACAGCTCTCCAGGGTCTCACAGAGGTATTTCCCATCACCTATTTTGTGGTCCTTTTAACTTCAGGTTTCAGGGTTCTTCTGCATG